GTCCAAAATAACCTACGACCTGACATTGGAATACGTCTGCGATTATGATAAATGATACTTGACACATTCACAAGTTTCATCGACCACATTTATTTTGCGATTAAATTTTGAGCAAAGAATTCTAAGATTTTACAAAATGCCAAGATATTTGTGACAGAAGCATAGCATTGATTAGCGTAATCTCCAAGATGATTAAAATACGTTCACACATAATTTCCGTCGTAACAGCCATATTGCCAAACAGACGTTAATTTTGTAAAATCTTAGAATTTGTTGCTCAAAATTAAAACTGCAACATAAATTAAGTATATTACTACTGGTATAATAAGTATGTATTTTTAATCAGGGCCGGCGTACGATCGGCGAGGATCAATTACTTACTCCATTATATAAGAGCAATAATAATAATAATAATAATCCGGCTTTATTTAGACAAAGTATAAAAAGGCCAAGTGTCGCTAAAAAGCGTTTTTCAATTTAACCCAAAAAATATTTGTGTAAATTTTCTAATCCCAATGAAAACAAAAAAGTCAAAAAAAAACATGTAACGAGTCCCTATTCATGGCCATGGTCTACTTACTGGGCAATGAAATCAGAGATAAAATGCTTCAATCTTTTTTTGAAATTCTTTATAGAGTAGTGAGTGAACTCGGTAGGCAACGCGTTGTATAGCTTCATAGCAGTATATTATGTACCTTTTAAATAGAGGTGTTGAATGTCTCGGGATAACCATGATATGCTGTGTTCGGTTGATTAACATCTGAGTATCTGATAGATTTGGTTGATAGATGATTGTTTTGTGATTACTGTATGGGTCAAGGTCAATACGTGCATTTTGTATAGTTCTTCTATTTTTCACGATATTTATGTGACACTGTCTCACTCCACAAGCAAATCTGAGACACGCATTTTGAATAGTCTGAAGTCTCCTTATCTCAATCGATCTGCAGGCCCATAAATACAGTCATAGTAGTGAATTCTAGACCATATTAAGGTTTCGTACAACTTCAGCTTGAGACCAGTATTCATACTTTTCCTATGAGGAAATAATTGCTGCAAGACACCGAATGATGTTCGGCACAGTTGACTAACGTGTTTTTCAAACCTCAAATCAGAATCAATCCAGAGTCCTAAATTCTTGCACTCATTTTTTATAGGGATCGGTTGATCTAAAATGCAAAATGATAGTAATGGTTTTGCCTGACTTTTTGATTTTTGGTCCAAATATAGCTGCGGATGATTTTAACGGGTTAATTTTGAGATTATGGGCACAAGATACGTTAGATAAATTTATTAAATCATTATTAATCAAATGTTCGGCATTTTTAAAATCGTTAATATCAAAGAAAAAGTGCAACTGAGTGTCGTCAGCATAGTGATGAATATTGCAGTGTTCAACGTACTCGTGGAAGTCGGAAATGTAAATTGAGAACAATAATGGTCCCAGAATGGCACCCTGTGGTATCCCTATATGAGCTTTTTCACAAGAATAGATAGTTCCAGAGTATCAAAAGCCTTTGTATAATCATGTAACACTAAGAATGCTAAATTTCCTTGATCAACACATCTGATTAAGTCATCCGTAATGCAAGCCAGAACTGTTGTTGTGCTGTGGTTTTTCCTGGATTTCAGGAATGATACCATTAGAGAAGACGTAATCAGATACCCGATGTTTCATGGCTAGTTATAATAACTTGGAAAATGCCGGTAGTATATCTGTCGGCCTCAGATGTGAAATATCTGAAGGGTTACTTATTTTAGCTAGTGGGAGAACATTTGCTTTTTTACAACAGTTGGGGAAGTTTGACGATGCAATTGCATAGTTGATGATGAAAGTTATATTTTCAATTAGCAAGTCGAATATGATTGTTAGCATATTTAGCTTGATTCCGCCAACACCCGAGGCATTACTTTTGATAGTCCTCCTGTAACAACATAGAATGGGTAAATCAATTTTTCAGACCACAGAAGGGCAATGCCTGTACATGAGTCAGTTGTATGTTCCAAAATCAAAACAAAAAAAGAAACTCGAAGAAAAGTGTATATCAAAGAAGTGTACATGTAGAAGATGCTAATTTTTAAGGGATATTTAATAGGAATTTGATAATATGTTGTCTTCCTATTGCGCGTATCCATTTTGAAAATTTCTTTTTAAAATTATGTGTTTATCAAAATTATTTTAAGTCTTTGGGTGTGTTCATGTAATTTAGGAGACAAATAGAGAAAAGATAGTTTTATGGTCTTATGAGATTTAGAGACAGTTTTTGCTTTATAATTTATAACGAATATCATGGCAAAGTTGACTTTATCGCGCTTATTGACAACTTTGTGATAATGTATGTAAAAAATATAGTTTCTTGATATCAAATGATTTTGTTTCGTTACATAAATCATTTAATGAAGATAATTTTGGTTTTCCGAACATAGTTTTTGAGACAGTTCTCAGTAAAACTGTCGTTTAAATACACTGGACATGCTGTACCCCTAATATAACATACATCAGTTGCAGTTCAATTAAGGCATGATATACAGTACGCATATAATTTTCTGTCAATATTCCTGTGAGGAATTCAATTTTGTATGTAATAAATCTTATTTTCTTCAAAATAGCCTGCATGAATCTCAAATGTTGGTCTAAAAAAATGTCCAAATTTTTGAGATATTCCACTCTGTCAATCTTTAAATTTGTATTGTTTATTTTGGAGGAAAGATTTGAATAATAATGTCTTGCGTATGATGTGAAGGGTAAAATATGCGTTTTCCCAAAGTTTACGGTTAATTTTCTAGTGCTGAAAAAATGAAAGTTTGTTTCAGTCATTCTCAATTATTCTCTTTACATCATACCAGTCTTGCCTTTATATCGTATTACCATATCATCAGCAAAACTATACTAAGTGACATATAAATCCGAACACCCAGTTTAAATGGTTTTATTTTAATAAAAGTTGGTTAATGTATTTATCTTACTGTAAATAACAAGTGAAAAACTTTTCAGCCTTATCAGTTGGACATTCCGGTTTTTATACTGCTTTTTTTTAATTCACTAACGCTCTAAAAATGAATATTTCAGCCGCAGTAAAGAATCAACGTTGGCGGATTTTGGTTCTTGACATCCTTTACGATCGGTTACGATGCCTAGAGTGCGGAGACCTGTACCATTTCGTCAACTAAGTGAGTTTGATAGGGGCCGTATAGTGGGACTTCGGGAAGCTGGACTTTCTTTTCGGGCAATTTCAGTTAAAGTGCAAAGAAGTGTAGACACTGTGGTTAGGTGTTGTCAGGCATGGCTTCGAGAAGGCCGTACGCAAAGAGCAAGGGGCACTGGACGCCGCCGTAGAACAACAGACCGTGAAGATCGCCGCCTAAGATTATTGGCCTTAAGGGACCGTTTCTCCACTACCAGGTCCATTGCAAATGAATGGTTTGCAGAACGCGGAAGACCTATTGGCATGCGAAGTGTTTACCGACGAATAAGAAGTTTTGGCTTGTTTTCATACCGGCCACACTGGGTCCTCCCTTTAACTCGAGAACACCGACGTAATCGCCTTGAGTGGTGCAGACAACGGTCACTCTGGGATCAGGAATGGAACAGTATTGTCTTTAGTGACGAGTCTCGATTTTGTTTAGGCATGCACGATGGTCGTGCCAGGGTTAGAAGGCGACGTGGTGAAAGGAGGAATCCACAGTTTTTTGTTGAAAGAGATGTTCATCACACTGTTGGAGTTATGGTTTGGGGTGCTATAGCTTATGGTTCCAGGTCACCTTTAATCTTCATCAGAGGTAACATGAACGCGCAGCGTTATATCCACGAATTTCTAGAACCCCATCTTTTATCCTATCTTGACACCCTGGCAGATCCAACTTTCCAACAACATAATGCCCGACCACATGTTGCAATAGTCACAATAGACTTCTTTCAATATAATGATGTCACATTGTTACCATGGCCACCAAGATCTCCCGACTTATCCCCAATTGAGCACGTGTGGGATATGATGGTTAGGAGATTGTTCAATTTGCAACGTCCTCCTCAGACTCTAGAAGCACTTCGAAAGGAGTTGGTGGTTGCCTGGAATGAGATAACACAGGAGGACATTGACCACCTGATCAGAAGCATGCCTAGGCGCGTTGGAGAATGCGTAGCACATCAGGGTGCATCCACACATTACTAAAGGTCAAAGGGCTTTAAAGCAGTGCAATCATTTTGAAATTTTTATCATTTACTTATTATGCTTCATTAAGTACTTATACAAAATTTTATTAAAATAAAACCATTTAAACTGGGTGTTCGGATTTATATGTCACTTAGTATATTCTACCTACACAGTTAATTTTAAATATATCTTTCAAACAGATATTAAATAAACGAGGGCCGAACAATGTACCCTGCGGTACACCACAAACATTTCCTTACTGTATGATTTTGATAGTTTCACTACTTTGGGCTTTTTTGATAAATAAATTAGCATTAAATAATATATTTTTCCACAAAAACCTAGTTTATCTGAAATTTTTAACAGTGTAAGTAATGAAAACATTTTATACATACCTCGTCTGTGAAGGCCATTATTGATATCGCACATTATACCCTTTGGCGCTACGAGCCTCAGGTTAAATGCTCGCCCGTTAATGGTCCACTTATCAAAATATATTTTCTACGTATTTCGATTGTTTTTCTAATTATCATGTAGCACTCGTCAAAATGCCTCTGAATATGGTACAAAAAAACACATAAAAAATATTAACAGGTTTTTTTATCGTTTCAGGTTAAAAATGCCGATGACACCAAACAAGCTCTGTAGGAAAGCAACACTTTGAACCGCGACAATCTCCTACCAGTTATAGCACCATAAAAATGACATAAAATCATACTAAACCACACAAAAAACGGGAAGCATCAGCATTCCCTCTACTATCAGATACAAGATTATTTAACAGCGGTGTTTTGTGATACAAGCAACAACGACGTTATAGGCAATAACATTCCTCGACAACGAAACATGGCTTACAAATATGTGGCATTTATGCTGCTAGTCCTAACAACCTGTGAAGGTTACGGCAACCGAAGGCAAAGGAAAAGTCAAGCCTTCTCGCCCATAACATCATCGAAAATCTCGCACAAGCCGAACATCATCTTGATCTTGACTGACGATCAAGACGTGGAGTTGGGATCATTAAACTTCATGCCAAAGACGATGAGGAACATAAGGGACCAAGGTGCCGAGTTCAGGCACGCTTACGTCACCACGCCCATGTGCTGCCCTTCAAGGTCATCACTGCTTACTGGGATGTATGTGCACAATCACCACGTGTACACCAACAACGACAACTGCTCCAGTGCCCAATGGCAAGCGACTTATGAGACGAGGACTTTTGCGACGTACCTTTCCAACGCTGGATACAGAACTGGTAAGTTTCTATTTTTTCTATTATACAGGGTGTTCAAATATGGGGCAAACATTCAAGGGGTTGGGCTATTCTAAGAGTACTTTGCGCTGTGATGATTTTAAAAAGACCGCTACGTTTTGAAGGTACAGCCCCTGAAAGAGAACACTGGAAATAGGCTTTTGTATAAAAAGCAACTAACTGTAGGATACGAAATTGATAATATGATAATAGCAATATAACGATAAACGTGAAAACATCTCATCTTAGAAGATTTCGAAGTACCGCCCTGTACCATTACATTTTTACTACGTGGGCAGTACGTAAACAATTCGATATGGGCAACAATGTCAGGGTAGTATTAAAGTCACTTACTTGGTGACGAAACGACAACGAGTTATCCTCCTTTGGCAAGCGGTAAGGGCGATATGATTGGATTGTCGGGGCCAACACCTATTTTTAGAAAAAGACTTATGAGTATCTCCCGTATTCAACCGACTCATGATAACACATGCACTAATCTACTATCTACCATTACATTAATGTACCCCAACTACTATTACGGATTCGTCATCGACTGAATCACGGGACCGTCATCACGACAGACTGATCCTGACCGTCATCACGACAGACTGGTCGTTAAGTCATCACGACAGACTTAATAGGAGTCATCACACAGACTCAATAGGAGTCATCACGACAGACTCAATATAACTTTGGTCGCTAGGTGTATGGTCAGACGTGCTGAGTTTAACGATTGTTACAAAAAGACAGTCCAGGAACCGGGATATCACGCCGACCAAGGCCGTTGTGTCAATACCCCAAATCTCCGACATTACCCCTGAATCAGAGGTAACCGAGCAATATGACTATCATTAAAGTAACAATCCCTTCACATATCCTGCCATGAGATACATTCAGACTCCAACGATTGCCAAGTGAAGATAGTTAAGCGGTCATTAAGACCAAGGATGCCACTTCGACCAAAGGCCATCGTGTCAACATCCAAAGCGCTCCGACATTTCCCCTGGTAGAGGAAACCGAGCAGTAAGTTACATAACTACCTCAACCCAGCAAACGGGCTCCGAAAGTCCCATAACAACCCCCAGAACCTGGAGGCGTCCCACCTGCGGATATTCAATAACAAGTCGTAAGCCATAAGTTAAATTATGAAGGTAAAAAGTATAGCATCTTTATAAATATGGCTTAAGACATTCATGATCATGAATATGAAACTACTATGGTTATCAATCCATGCAGTACAGTAGAATAAAGGAAACACTCAGTGATAGCTCACCTTTCAGGTAACTAAAACACCACACCCAATAGCACATCAACACCGTAATGAAGTTCACTCTACTTGGACTGAGAAGCGATGTGATCCACGCGATAATTGAAATGCATCTACGCCAGACTAACAAAGTTTATCCTGGGAGCAGGTACCCAGCGAAGGAATGGAATGTATAATGTAAACAGGCGTAAGGGCTGTCGCGTTGAGTCACACTAAGCTGCCTTGTGTAACTTCTGGAAAGTTTTCGTGTGCTACAGGGTTGGCTCGCATGCAAAAAATAAAAAAAAAGCGTTTGAGATATTTCGTAAGCTTACATTCGGCCATCCGACATTCACCTCGCCCCGAGGTGATCATTCGCTGCCCGACGACGCTGGAAGTGGGACCCCATCGTCACCACTTTCGCTACCCGTGTCGTCCGAAACACCTCCTGGTGTACACCAAGGTTTCATCCTGTCCACCGCAACCGTCCTTTCATAATTCGCCTTTCTCCCGGTACGGTGCGATCCCCCCATGTCCGATACAACATACCTATCGTTAGGCAAAGCCGCTTTAACAACCAATGGACCGCTATAAGGTGACTGTAATTTCCGACTCGCCCCCGTAGCATGATTCTGCTTTTCGACCAAGACTAAAACGCCTGGTCTATATTTCCGCGGAGCCTTCCGCTTCTTGTCAAAACTGGCTTTTTGTTTCTGTTGAGCTGCCTCTATTTTTCGGGCAGCTCTCTCCCTTGTGGCAACAAGGTCTTCGAGGAGTATGTGGACTTGACTAACTTCGTCCTTTAGAACCATATCCACACCTTTTCGAGGTCCATAACCAAATAAAAGTTGACTTGGAGTTTTCCCTGTAGACTTATTTGGGACGTTGTTTATGGCAAACTGAACATTTGGAAGTTCTCTGTCCCACAGGTCTTCCTCCAACGTCGATGTAAGTAAAGCGTTCAGCAACGTCCGATTTAACCGCTCTACTTGTCCGTTTGCCCTGGGCGTCGCTACAGCATTCAGAATATGTTTGATATTGTTCTGATGGCAGAAATCTCTGAATTTCTTGGCTGTAAACGAGCTTCCTTGATCACTGATTAGTACTCTAGGTACTCCATATGTCGCTGACAGGGTTGCGATGTGACATATTTAGTCTTTGTCGACTTTACGGCCTTCAGTGCGACAAATTTCGTGAACCCATCAATTATCGCTAAAATGTGACAATTGCCTTTCCTACTCTTTGGGAATGGTCCCATGTGGTCAACGTGCACCGTGAAGAAAGGAGTTGGAGTTTTCGGAATCGGGTGCAAGAACCCTTCCTTTCTACCAGCTGGTTTCTTGTTATACAGGCATGGGATGCAGCAAGAAATATATTTCTCCGCATACTTCCTCATCCTTGGAAACCAGTAGTGATCCGTTAAACGATAAAATGTTTTGTCCACGGCAAAGTGAAAAAAAATCATCATGAGCCGCTTTCACTACTTGATGACGCATACCTCGTGGCACAACCCATTGAATACCTCGAACCGTAACACGATATACTCGTCCGTCCCTCAAAGCATAGTCCTTGTAGACTTGCTTTTCCTCGTTCGACGTAGGCGGTCTGGACAAGATATCGTGAATTCGCTTGATCTTCTCGTCGGTAAGCTGTCCAGATAATACCCAATCAGCCTGCTCAACTCGGAACACCGTTTCCGTTTCGGCAGCCTCGTCAGCACAACCGACTGGATTTCTACTTAGACAATCCACGTGTGCCATTCGAGGTCTGTACTTCACTTCAAAGTCAAACTCCTGTAGTTGCAACCACCACCTAGCAATTCTGGGTATTATTTGCTTCTTTACACTGGTGGCCTTCAATGCATTACAGTCAGTCACTACTATAAAATGAACCCCTAGCAGATATACCCGGAACTTTTTCAAACTTTCAACCACCGCCAGAGTTTCCAACTCATATGAGTGGTACTTCTGCTCACCATCGGTGGTTTGTCTACTGTAGTACGCCACTGGGTGTAGCCGCTCATCGGGCTGCATTTGCAAGAGTATTTCTGCAACGCCCAGCATACTTGCGTCGCAATGAACTTCAGTCGCAGCGGCTGCGTCATACAAAGCCAAAACTGGCCGACTCACTAAGTTGCTCTGCAACTTCCTAAATGAGCCTTCTTCCTGCTCGCCCCATCGCCAAGACACACTCTTTCTGAGAAGATTTGTGAGGGGTTTAGCTACGATAGCGTAGTCCTTTACAAAATGCCTGAAGTATTCTGTTAGTCCAAGGAACTGTCGGACTTGGTGTACAGTTCTTGGTTGACAAAAACTCTCCACCGCTTTTGTCTTCTCCTCGCCGGGTTTGACCTTTCCATCCTCGATTTGGAAACCCAGAAATGTAACTGATCTCATCAGAAAAGCACATTTCTTCAAGTTCAAAGTGAGACCTTTTTGGATACCCTCCAATGATTCCTCTACAGTGTTAGGATGCAGCAATACATCAAGATATACGGCTGCAATGTCTTACGCCGGTTTCACCAACCGGTTCATAAACCTCTGAAATACTCTGGGTGCATTTGAGAGGCCGGAAGGGACTCCATTGAATTCATAGAGACCTACGGAGTGACAAACGCTGTGTATCGCCATGATTCCTCCTCCATAGGGATTTCGTAGTATCCGAACCTGAGATATAGACTGGTGAAATAGATCTCGTCACGGAGACTGTCGACTTGATCGTCAATTGTTGGTGAGAGGTGACTGTCCTCAATTTCTATCACACACAAACGGCGATAGTCGATACATAAACTTCCTTCAATCTTCATTTTTCTTCTTCATCAGAAGAACCGAGGATGCATAGTTTGAGTCTCATGCTCATATGACTTCCACGCTCAGAATATCATCGACTATCTCCTCCACAGCCTCTAGCTCTGAGTGAGCCATTTGGTAAGCCCGATACGTGAATGCTTTTTCTCTTTAAGCTGTATCGTCATTTCAGCGGACTCACTGAGTTCAGCCATCGACTGAGCAAAACAGCCGCGATATTGATTCGGCAAGCTAACCAAGTTTCCTAGCCAAACTTCCTATATGGATCCAACCATGAAATCCTCCTCTTTATTTGAGACCATCGAAATATAAATGATCTCATCAGGAAATCAGATCACTTTGAATATAGACGTGAGGCTTTTCTATCAATAAATTTCCAAAACTCTCTGGGTTTCTCCACCGTTTCGCCGACTACCTTAGCTGGCTATAAGCCAGCCAATAATCATGAAGTTATTAGACAGACTGAGAAAACCTCTCTAAATTCACATAGAATGCCAAGACAACAAAGGATGTGCAGGACTCGAATTGTTCCTAGATGGGCATCTTTAGAGTTTCAAAGGAACCTGCCTATACCTAGTGAAAAGCAACTTTTTTTCGCAACTTCTTCCGAAGTGAAGGGTTTTCCAACAAGTAAAGTGTATTTCTAACGTAACTTTGGTACCACAAGGGTTTTTACACCCACGTCACACCAATATTCTCAATGCTAAGTGACAAAAATTATGAGCTGGGTCAAAACATTTACATAATCCTTCAGTATGGCCACTCCCGAAGGGTTATAGTAAATGCACCAGTTTGTCACCACATCGAAAGTAATGATGAAACAAGTGTGACCAAAATTACACAACCTGTTTGTGGGCAACCGTCCACTTTCATTGCCCAATAAAACCTATTTTCGGCATAGCACCATCGACATCTCTTGCAATTAGTCAAACTCTAACCACCCGCTGATTATTGTTTCCCATTTTGACCTGCAACCCTTATAAGTGCACTCTTGTCGCCAAAATAACAAACATTGCCTTTT